TATAAGCTACCAAACTTGTGGTATTATTATTATAGCAGCCAAAAAGGTCTAAGACACCAACACTTTCCCCGCAAAAAAAAAAAAAAAAAAAAAAAGGGTCCTAACCTAGATTCTCTCTTGCCCTTCTCCCCTCCCCTACCCAGAGGGTCAAGCTAAAGTCCCCAGTGTCCATGCCTGCCCTCCCAGCCCTTCCTCCCCACTACCCCAGGCCCAAGCCTCACTTCCACTGTGCCGAGTCAGATCCATCTTGATGGAGAGATTGAGGTTCTCCGAGCGAAAGGCCCGGTAGGAGTCATGAAGCTGGCCCAAGGGCACCTCAGGCAGGAACTCTGGGGCCCGCAGAGTGACACTATGGTGATCATGGGGGTTCCCATGGCACAGCCACTGCAGGTCCAGTGTCATGCAGAGGTCAGGCAGGTGAAGGAAGCAGCAGTCGTCATACCTGCCTCACAATGGAGCCCCAGCCCTCAGTGCCCTGGTCACTCACTTCCCCTTGGCTCTTCCCCCTCCCTCCAACCTTAGTCCCTCACCCCATGGAGGACCCTCCCTTCACTCTACTCACTTAGAGGCTGTTCTCACGTTGATATCCAAGTCACCCTTGAACACAAACTGACCAGGTTTCCAATGAAAAGACAGGTGGCTCCACTCCCAGTGCATATTTTCAGTTGTGTTGTATGGATCCTATGATCACCCCCAAGAACTTGGTGAGATATAGGTAAGAAAACCATCCTCATCTCCCATATCAGCACCTTTCTCTCTTCCCACATGTGCTATACAGGCCTCAACCATATTATCCTGATAGGAAAAAAGTATCAAGACACCCCTTACCTCAGTGGCCAGCTGGTGCAGGTTCGCCTGTTCAATGTCCATGTGCCAGTCTCCATGGAACAAAAGACGGCTCTTGTCCCACCAGGGCAAAGGTGGGCTGGGGTCAGCTGAGGGCTTGGTCAAGAGGTCCACACACTGGCCAATCAGTGTCCAGGCTGGATCCCAGCATGGGCCCCATACCACTGTGTACTGGAATATTTCCGCTGGGGTAGAGGAACAAAGGCTATAACTTGTTCACAACATTACCCTTCTCTTCCTTCTTCACTCCAGAAGGGCCTCAGCTCATCTCCTATTTCACCCATCACAAATGTCCCTCAGCCAAACCAACTGCCCCATCTCTACTCACAGTGGAAGTCATGGTAGAATTTGAGTGGGGGCATGTTCCTCTCCACTGCCACGTTACCCCACGGAAGCCCCAAGTGCAAGATCTGACGCCGACGGGAGCAAGGCTGACCACTCTGCTCGGTGCCCACAAGTCGACCCATCAGCCGCCAGTCACGGATCTCAAACAGGTACCGTGGATAGTCTCTGATCCGAACTGTTACCAGAGGAAGGGTACACACTGGCTACTCAGGGGCAGTCTGAGCACTCTTGGGCCTTTTTCCTCACCACTATTTTACCCATCTATATTTACGAAGTCAATTGAGGGAACAAGGGCAGGCAGTTGACAGCAAGCTGAAAAATGACAGTAACCCTGGAGCAGAAGGTTAAGGGCATAGCACTGAGATCCAAGAGACAATAATCTTAAAGATAACTGTGTTAGCTTTCCCTTTATGTTAGCCAAGCAATTTCAGAGTGAAATTTAGGAACAAAGAAAGGGAAGGGAAGCCCACCCATCCCACTCCACCCATCCAAAACAGCACAGTTCCCAATATAACCATATAACCTAGTTTGTCTGAAATCACTCAGAGAGCTCCCTAGAGCTGAGCAGGCAAACACGGTGTCTGCAAATAAGGGAAACACTACTTACCCAGAAAGGTCTTGACATTGCACTTGAGCATTCGACACCACTGAATGACAAGATCTACTCCCTCAGGGGGAAAAGGGCTGCCTGGATCAAGCTCTTGAACCTGTTCTACCACATGCTCAGGACCGTGGAAAGAGGCATCTGCCAGAGCTACCAGCTCTAGCCCTGCTAAGCTCCAAGTGAGCAGTGCCCGGCGCATGGGTGTGTTGCCATAGAGACGACGGGAACGCTGGATGTAGATTTCAATGTTTTTGCGTTCCAAAGAGGCATAGAGCTCCTCAATTTTGCGGGCAGGCAATAACTCCCCATGCTGCTTCCGAAGGGCGGCCACTTTGGCATCCAGTAGCTGCAGTCTTTTGGCACTCTCCTTACTTTCATCCTTCATCAGCTCATAGTTATCATGAAGTTTCACCTCAAAAATATCATCCAAGAAAACCCATGAGAAGTGCTGAACCTTTAAGAGTAGATCAGGTGGGAGCGGGACAGGGCCTGGAGAGGCCCAAGCATGAGTCCCTCGATGCAGTCCCTTCAGCCACTTCTGAACTCCCACAGCCTCATCTAGAGTTCGAGAAAAGTCATACTGATAAGGAAACTCCACTGAGACTGAGCCGAGGGAGAGAAGCCAAACACGGTTCCGGAGGGTCTGCAGCGCAGGGAAGGGGTTCCGGTGGAGGATCATCTCTTCCAGCTCAGGCAGCAGCTGCACCTCCACCTCCTTGAAGTTGAAGATACTATTGCCATCAAAGCCAGCTGCCAGCTCAGGACAGTATGCCTGCAAGGAACCTCCATGCCGGCTCAGTGACACACTCTCTGCAGCCAGGGTAATGAACTTATCCTCAGCTACAAAAGCTGTGAGTTTGGCTGTGCTCACCTCCAGGGTTAGGTTTAGCAGCCGCTTTGGGGGTAATGGTTCAGGGGCACGGCCTTCTAGCTCAGAAATGGTTCCTGAAGTCTCTAATGCAAGGGATGGTACAGTCTCAGGAAACACAGTGGCTCTTAGTAGGTCTCGGCACTGTAGAGTGGCCAGGATATGCTGGTACAGGTACATGTGATCTGGGGGACTCCAAAGTAAGGTCAGCCCTGCACCACACTGAACCTTTAGGGAGCAGAAGAAAAGGATCTGTCAATTACCATGTCATAAAACAGTAGAGATGGCAAAAGATTATGACACATGCATACCTGGCTCAAGAACCATCTCCACCCAGAAGTTGTTCCTGAGTAACCACATTAATTACTGCCTTGCTTTGTTCCTGTTAGCACTAACGTGCTGAGCTAACAGTTGTTAGTGTCTTACATTTAAGAGCACTTACACTTTTCAAGTTCTCCTCAACTGGATTCTAAATTGTCTGAAAATAGGGACCATGTGTTTTCATTCTTTGGTATCTACCATAGTACACTCAGTATAGACAGCAGGTACTCAATAATATTATCATCTGCCTTCATGTTTCTGCTTATGAGTTACCTTTCTATCGGCAACTACATTGTCTAGTAACCACTGCAACAGTCAACTTGAAAATGTTTCATGAATTGATTGCATCAATTTAATTCTCAAAATATAGCATAATAAAGTACTGAGCACACAAGTCAATATGGCAGCTGACTTATGTAAAAGTATGCGTCAAGGAGGGAGTAGTGTCTTTGTCAGCTTGAAAAACAAAGTCAGGGGCCGGGCGCAGTGGCTCACGCCTGTAATCCCAGCACTTTGGGAGGCTGAGGCGGGTGGATCATGAGGTCTGAAGATCGAGACTATCCTGGCTAACATGGTGAAACCCCGTCTCTACTAAAAAAATACAAAAAATTAGCCGGGCGTGGTGGCGGGCGCCTGTAGTCCCAGCTGCTCGGGAGGCTGAGGCAGGAGAATGGCGTGAACCCGGGAGGCGGAGCTTGCAGTGAGCTGAGATTGCGCCACTGCACTCCAGCCTGGGCAACACAGCGAAACTCCATCTCAAGAAAAAATAAGTAAATAAAAATTAAAAATAAAAACAAAGTCAGTTCTGAATAGCTAAGTGGACAGAGAAAAGTAAAATTCCAGGACAGAAAATTCTCAAGTTCTAGTCTCTAAAAAGGAAACTCTTCCGTTTCCAAAGGTGAAGTCTGACAAAGAGGAAAACGCCCACCCTCCTCCTAAGAGGGTCCCATGTCCATCTGTTACCCTGAGGATAAAGATACTGGAAAGCCTCTCAAAACCTGCCACTGCCTCTATCGTCTGACTCCTTCCAGTCTTTTGATGGGCTGAGGACTTCAGCAAAATGACACCAGGTCATTATTTTTAAAAAGCCCCTTATTTTTCAGAGATGCATAGTGAAACATTTATAGTGGAAATTATGTATGTCTGATACCTACTTACCTACTTCAAAATAATCCCAGAGCCTTGAGGCAGGGGAAATTGGTGGGAGTATAATTAAAAGAAATTGGTCATGAATTGGTAATTATTGAACCTTGGTATACAAAGCTTATATATTCTCTCTAGTTTTGCATGTATTTTAAATTCCACAAAAAGTTAAAAACATAAGAGTTAGAAAAAATAAACAAAATCAGGTGTCATACTTCTCATGAAACCAGTTTCACAACATGAGTTAAAAAGAGAGGCTGGGCATGGTGGCTCACACCTGTAATCCCAGCACTTTCGAAGGCCAAGATAGGAGGATTGTTTGAGCCCAGCAGTTTAAGACCAGTCTGGGCAACATGTGAGACTCTGTTTTGGGAAAAGACAAGAAAAAAAAAAAAAAAGACAGAGAAAGGGTCTAAGCTGAGGGAAAAACCAGCCTGGCCCCACCTCTCCACAGGAACATTACCTCCAGAGAGCGGATGCTGCTGTGATAGGTGATGGAGATCATGGAAAGGCTGAGCACTGGGGTAGGGATGTCAGGGGCCTTGCAACAGGGTTGCATCTTTTCTGTGACTGATTTCACCAGCGCTAACACAAGTCCTTGAATTCCCACAGTGGAGGTCTCTGCACTGCCCAGGATAGTCAGGGTGTCCAGTCGTACCTCTGAAGCACCTAATAACAAGAAACCATGTCAGCCTTGGTTCCCAGCTCTCAAAGGGCAACAAAAGTCCTCACTCGCCTTTCTCACTTATTCCCTTAATTATCTTTATTCCTCATGCCTCCCTAAGTTCATTCCTTAGGTTTTAAGGAAACTTTCCCTTTCCTCCCTTAACCTAACTGGATTTGGCAGAGCCAAAGTTGTTCCTTAACTCCTACAAATTGCACAGAGACATACCATTTACTCTCTAGAACTAAACACACAAGGAAATAAAAAGCTATATGGATCTCTCTTGACTAGATTAAGGTTGTCTTTTTATGTCTTGCTTAGTACTTGCCTTTCATAAGCCCTTAAGAAATATCAAGAAGCCTGATATTTATGCAAGACTTTCAAGCATCTCATGCCTCTAATTTAGAAAAATTCCAGGCCGAGCGCGGTGGCTCATGCTTGTAGTCCCAGCACTTTGGGAGGCTGAGGTGGGCGGATCACGAGGTCAGGAGATCGAGACCACAGTGAAACCCCGTCTCTACTAAAAATACAAAAAATTAGCCGGGCGTGGTGGCGGGCGCCTGTAGTCCCAGCTACTCAGGAGGCTGAGGCAGGAGAATGGCGTGAACCCAGGAGGCGGAGCTTGCAGTGAGCCGAGATGGCGCCACTGCACTCCAGCCTGGGCTACAGAGGGAGAGTCTGTCTCCAAAAAAAAAAAAAAAGAAAAAGAAAAATTCCAGCTCAGCAGCTTCATCAAATGAGAAAGAGCAGACTAAACCAATATAATCTGCTTAGGTTACACACTACACACTTCAGTATATTTATTTACTTATATTATTTTATTTTTTGGAGACAGAGTCTCGCTCTTTTGCCCAGGATAGAGTGCAGTGACACCATCTCAGCTCACTGCAAACTCTGCCTCCCAGGTTGAAGTGATTCTCCTGCCTCAGTCTCCCAAGTAGCACACTTCAGCATAGACTCCTTGTCCCACTTACCAACCAAGGCAGAAAGGGTGAACAAATTCATGTCTTCGACCTTCAAGTCCACTTTCCACAGTAATGACACAGATTCCCCAAATGAAGAGTGCCTAGAGACAGCTGACTTCCCAGATTGTGGACCCATCAGGGATAAGATACGAGACAGACACTGGGCACAGGTATCTGATGCTTCCACCTGAAGTCCTCGAATGGTACAATCAAGAAAGAGGGTATCTGACTGGGTGCTGGACAGGCCCAGAGGCTGGTTATAGCTACCCTAGAGAAGCAGCAGACGGATTCCATTAGAAGTATGGAGGTGCACAGTTTTATAATTCCTTAATGCACTTCCTGCTGCCAAAAGGATGCTCAGTGCTCTGATGCATGACAGGATGAGGAAAGCTGTGCAGGCCCCTATTCACCAAAGCCCCCACCTACCTGTAGCGTGAAGGAGTCCAGAACAAGCGCCTCACCCCAAACATGCATATTGGGTGGGTGTGGTGCCCGCTGAATGTGGGAGTCACTGCCCACACGCCAGCAGAGGTGGTCTACAGTCAGGACACCCCGCTGATGGATGCTTTGTGGCCTGAGGTGCTGGTAATCTGAACAATAGTGAGAAAGAGGGATTGCATGGAACCACTGTGGCCATGAATTGGACCTAGCTCCATTAATGGACAGATTCTTGTTCCTCTTCCATCTGAGAGCCTTACCCAGAGAGACAGAATTGAATCCCAAGGCAAAAGGCGGTGTATCTCCAAGTTGAATGGAAATGTTGACATTGGAGATGGAGGTGCTAAAGATGATGGGAGCCAGGATTTGGGGGAAGGTTCTGCATAGGGACAAAACATCATTATTTGGTAAGAAAAGAACTGCAGCTTCCTATCATGGAACAGTTTCTGAAGCTCTTAAAATCAGAGTGAGAATTTAGAGTTTTATTGTGATTCTTAGGATGGGATACACCTAGAAGATAAAAGGCTGAACTCATCAGTTTATTGCTAGTCTTAACGGTAATCTGCAGGAACTCCAGAAAGATATTAGGTTGACTCACATAAAATTGTCATTTTCATAGGCCAAATACAATGAACACCAGCAATATCACATGCTTGAACCTAAAATAACCAAGAAGCATCACTTCTAAACCATAACCTTAAGTTCTCTGTGCAGCACAATAGAAGCACTACACAAAGACATGCACAATAGAAGCACTACACAAAGACATGACTGCCACCTTACAATCTAAGGCAGGCAAGACAAAGACATTCCTTATCATTTAAGTTCAGTTCAACAAACATTTATTTTGTATAAAACACTATGCTAAGCACCAAGGACATAAAAACAAAGAGGACAACATTCTGCCATCAAGGAGTCTAGTCTAATAGGAAAGATACATAAAACAGGATTGCTGTTGAGACTCAGATTTGAGGAGGTCAAACCACCAAATACATATTTAACACAAGATGCCACTTTGGACCAAAAGAATCCCAGAGAATCCAAATGATAAGATGGTGGCTGAAAAAGATCAGACTGACCTTTTTTTCCTTTGCTTAAGAACAGGTGAACTAGACCCTTGGGTTTCCAGTGCTAGCAGGTGCAGCCAGTGAGAGAATTCCTGGTGCCGGTAGTGAATGATGCAAGTGTTCAGAACTAGGGAGGCTGAGAGGTCAATGGTGGTCACCTGAAATAAGAAGACCAGAACTGTGGGCTTGGGTTTTATTTCACAAACTCATAATGAAATAATGTAGCGGGAAAGCAGAGAAAGGAACAATTCCTGGTACCACAATCATCACACCTGCACACTAGCCTTGAGGGAGCTGAGGCAGACAATGCGCTGGCGACTCTGGGACAGCAACAACCCATCTGTAAGAGGCCAGAGGACAGATCAGAGGAGAGCACTGGAAGGGCAAGAGGTAAAACTGGGAGAGGGTCAGAAGCCTGCAAAGGGATAAACAGACTGTCATCAAAACTTGTGAGCTGGGGCTATTTCCTCTCAGTATGTTCCCTCCTCCTGCTCCCCAGTTACACTGAGATTAGATTAAGGACTCCGCATGGGGCATGAGCAAAGAGAGTATCTAGTCCTCCCATTGTCGCTCAGTACCAGTACCCCAACCCATGAACCTTCCAGCAGGAGTTCAGTGCTCATCTGTGCCATATCGGAGTTTGCTGTGAAGCTTCGAAGGGGCAGCTGATCCTCATCACGGTGGTACAGAAACTGCAGCAGCTTCAGAGTCCAAGTCAGGTGCCTGGACCAAGAAAGATTCTGGCTCAGGAAGATGTGGAATGCCATTCCTACTTATTTTATTTTTATTTTTTAAAAACAATTATTTTTTGGCCGGTGCAGTGGTTCACGCCTATAATCCCAGCACTTCGGGAGGCCAAGGCAGGGGGATCACGAGGTCAGCAGACCGAGACCATCCTGGCCAACACAGTGAAACCCCACCTCTACTAAAAACACAAAAAATTAGCCGGACGTGGTGGCACGCGCCTATAGTCCCAGCTACTTGGAAGGCTGAGGCAGGAGAATCGCTTGAACCTGGGAGGCGCAGGTTGCAGTGAGCCAAGATTGGACCACTGTACTCAGGCCTGGGCAACAGGGCAAGACTCCATCTCAAAACTGGTAATAATTTTTTTTTTTTATTCTTCCCACACTACATGGATGTAACCATTTCTACTTCCTTTCTCCCCATAGACAACCTCAGCAACTACTAGGCTGGTTACAGAGATACCATCATACAGCTCCCACTATCACTTTCCCATCTTCTGTGTCAGGAGAGACCTCACCTCTTTTGACTATTCATGGACAATACCACGCTTGTGTTCTCCATCTTAACCTTGACCTGGTCTGGCAGCTGCTGAAGGAGGAACAGGCCAGGCAGAGTTGGCTCAACCAAGTTCTCTGTCACCTCTGAAAATACGAATGAATAACACGAGAACCATCAATTCTTAACACTCTCAATTCTCCCAAAATGCCCTGGCCTCTATGGCCAAATCCTCCCACATACAATAGGCTAAGCAAATGCCTAAGCTGGATGGACCACAAGGCGAATGCCCCAGAGATCCAGGCACCTGCTGTACTTCTCCAGTCTCTAAAAATTTAAGGAGTACAAGGAGCTGGTTGGTAAATGAAAAGAATGTGGACCTTAGGGCCAAACAATTTAAACCTCATTTTTACTACCAACTAGCTGTATGACTTCAGTCAAGTTACCTAGCTAACCTTCCTAGGCTTCAGTTTCCTTATTTGTGAAGTGCTGAGGATTTAGTGAGAGAATATACAGTCATCCCTTGGTGTCCTTGGAGCTTTGGTTCCAGGACCGCCTGCAGATACCAAAGTCCGCACATACTCAAGTCCAGCAGTCGTCCCTATGGGAACTCGTGTATACAAAAAGTCAGCCCTCCACGTCAGTGAGTTTCATATCCTGCAAATATTGCATTTTCCATTCACATTTGGTTGTGGATGCAGAATACACATATATGGAGAGCCAACTGTATTTATTGAAAAAAATCCACATATAAGTGGATCCACACAGCTCAAACCTGTGTTGTTCAATGGTCAACTGCATATAAAACACATAGTACGAGGCCGGGCATGATGGCTCACGCCTGTAATCCCAGCACTTTGGGAGGCCAAGGTGGGTGGATCACGAGGTCAGGAGATCGAGACCATCCTGGCTAACACGGTGAAACCCCATCTCCGCTAAAAAATATAAAAATTAGCCAGGCATGGTGGCAGGCGCCTGTAATCCCAGCTACTCAGGAGACTGAGGCAGGAGAATTGCTTGAACCCGGAAGGTAGAGGTTGCAGTGAGCCGAGATCATGTCATTGCACTCTAGCCTGGTGAGAGAGCAAGACTCCATCTTTTAAAAAGAAAAAAAAAAAAACACTCATAGTACAAGCCTAACTCATGACAGGTGCACACTTAATGTTAGTTCTGCCACTCAGCACAAGCAAATGCTCTATTTCCTCTAACTATCCTTATGGTCAAAGTTCATGGTGACTAGTGAATCACATCTAAGTAAGTAGTGAGACCACTATTTTTTTCTAATTCCAAAACAATCCCTGAGAACAAGGCAGTTAAGAAGCTCAATGACTGGGGCTTTACCTGAACAGGGAACAGGCTTAGATGCTAGGCTTGGGCCCTGGCACAGCAATTGGCTCTGGAAGAGGCCCTCATGCAGCTCAGCATGGAGTGTCCACACATCCACAGTGATAGCCGTGAGATGCCGACTGCTAATGCCCACCTTTAGACACAGGTCCAGGGCCAGTGAGAGCTCCACTAGGCAGGTGTCCTCCTGTGGGGATGACAAGCCTCTAAGGTGTGTATGTAAGAAGGTTTGGAAGTTTTAGGTCAAAATGTGATCTGGAACACTGGGTACTGACTTGAGGGAACCCCCTAAGGTCACAGAACCCAGAATGCAAGCCCTAAGCTCCTTCACACTTTATGCTCAGGAGGAAATGAGGCATCTGAATGATCATGGCATACTTACCAGCTGACCACTCTTTAGAACTTTGCTGTTGATCTTACATAAGCTCACCTCACAGATTAGCCTGGGAAAGGAAAAAAATTAAGAGCACTTGGCCCCTTTCCTCACCATTTACCTCCAGTCAAGCTCTGTTGGCTACAAGGGACAAAGCAAGTGGAAATGTCTAATCTTAGCATCTCCTCAAACTGCACAGAATGAGAACTTAAAACCTTGATAAGGAGGCCCTGAAGCAACTCTAAGGCAAGAATGGGACGGCTAGATCCTCTGCTCCCCGGTGCTTACCTTTTCCCATCACTATCCAAAAGAAATCTGCTTCTACTGATCTGAATATGCCATAAGGACTCAGAAGTATCCACCTTGAGAACCATGATGTTTATAGCATCTACATGAATGGAGAATAGCTGGAAGGAAGAAGCAAGGATGAACAATAATTAACGTTAAGGAACTGCCCTTCCCTTCCAGATGAGAAAGAGGGGCAGCTCTTAGTATTATGTCCTAAAAACAGTAGAAAAATCTACCCATAACTCCAAAGCCAACCATGCCAAAGTACAGTCCAGGACAGTGGGAGAAGTTGTCTCACTTGGCAGAAGATCTTCAATAAGGATGGGCTGAAGGACAGTTCCTTTTGATCCACCCCAGCACTCTGGGAGAATGGGGCAGACAGGCCAGAAACTTTCTGTAGGTCCGTTCTGATACGCACTTCTCCAAAGCACAATGCCACATAGTGTCTGCCCAGAAGAGAAATATCTCACTGCCACCAGGTCCATCCGTCCCATAGCAATCTACTCCCCACCCTCACATGCACTTTCTCATCCTTCCTAGAAACACAGCTCAAATCACAGAGATCAGTTTCATAGCAGTTATCAACATCTGTCTCACAAGATAATGGCACCCAGGCTAACAGGAAGACTTCAGCAACAACCTCCCTTCCTCCTTGGATTGTGAGGCCTCTGTAGAAGAGTCTCACTCTGCAAACACCAACTCCAAAATACTCCTCTAGGGGAGAAGTGAAAATATAGGGTACTCACGGAAGATCATGGCTAAGGAGTTTGCTGGAAATCCACAGGTTATCAATTTCCTAAAACAGCGAGGGAGAAAGCTGTGTGCTAGCTGCTGAAAAGCAACGAGCAGCTTGACAAGCCAGGAAAGGTTCTGGATTATTAGAATTTCTCTTTCATAGGCATGTTGCCTTGAATCCCCTCTTAAATTAGAACAGTAAACTCTTCAATTTCCTGTTATCTTTCTTCTGTATCTTTGTTATGTGCCCTGGACACTCTGTGTCCTATAAACATTTTTAACTGAACAATTTGCATCAATCCCAGCATTCTCCAACTAGCTCTAAGATCATCTTGGCAAAGAAATGGTAAGGCTGTCATAAACTAGAAAAGCCACCAGGATTTCTTTTTTTAAAAAAAGGAAATTAAGAGTTTAAATTCAGTTGGATCAACGCTACACATATCCAGGGTTTCCCAGAACTCACCACTGTTTGCTGGTGTTGCTGAAACTTAAGACTGACATTCTGGATCCAAAAAAAGCGGAAGGAGCCAATCTTTAGCTCCGCCTGCAGCTTCCGCTGACACCACTTGGTGGCCAACCGGACCACAAGCCACCTGCAGAAAAATTCCTGTTAATTCATAGAACCTTCTTCCAATGATGGTTCCCCTCACCCCTTGCTGGTCTTACAAAGCCTTGCAAAAGGTCGTGTCCTGAAACTGGATCTGAGCAATTCTCCTTTCTTCCAAAGCACCACTCTGTCATATACACTCAGCCACGCTGATGAAGATCCTAGCTCCCGACTGACCCCTCCACCCAGATGAAACCAGAAACTACACCCTCTAAGTTGGAGACAAAAAAAAAAAAATCCCTCAAATTGTTAGGAATCCTAGAGGAAGAGAGAGAAGGCCCCAGCAGGAGTCAAAGCGGAGGCGGCTCTGTTAGTTGTGCCATCACACTCCCTAGACGGTCTCTGTCTCCTGTCCCCAGCCTCCAGACAGGTATCCGCGAGAAGGCACTTTGAGGTCAGACCCGGCAGTTCGAATGCTGTTCTCCCCAGACCGATGCTGCAGGTGCCCTTCGCGCTTGGCTAAGAGGACTTTCAGGGGAGGGTGGAGGGGGAAAGGGAGGCCACTGAACCAGGCCCCTTCCTCACACTCCTATTCAGTTCCTGGCCTCAGCATTTCCTCAGGCCCCGCCCGCTTCCTTAGTCTCCCCAACTCGCAGCCCATCCCCGGCAGCTCGGGCCACGCGCCTCCTCACGATCCCTCCACTCGCCGCGCGTCCCCTCCCTCGACCCTACCCACTCAGCCTCCCGCGCCTCAGTAAGGCGCGCGCCCCCTCCTCAG